GGCGCTATGGCTTAAGTGGTATAGTGCTAACCTTGAGCTGAAGAGCTGAGGGACAGCATCCAGGCCCAGAGTTCAGGCTCCATGACTGACAATAAATAAATACATAAAGATATAAAACCAAAGTTCAGCTGGGCGCCAGTGGCTCACGCCTGTAATCCTAGCTACTCAGGAGGCTAAGATCTAAGCATTGTGGTTCAAAGCCAGCCTGGGCAAGAAAGTCTGTGAGACTCTTCAATTAACCACCAGAAAACTGGAAATGGCGCTGTGACTCAAGTGGTAGAGTGCTTGCCTTGGGGCTGAGGAGCTCAGGGCCAGTGCCCAGGCCCAGAGTTTTAAGCCCATGACCGACATTAAAACACACACACAAACACACCAAAGTTCACAGAAAAAAAAAATTACTAAAATCATAATGTCTACAGGCTGGGAAGGTAGCTCAGGGGTAGAGTGCTTGCCTTGCATACATGAGGCCCTGGGTTCAATTCCTCAGAACCACATAAGCAAAAAAAGCAGGAAGTAGCGCTGTGGCTCAAGTGGTAGAGCACTAGCCTTGAGCTGAAGAACTGAGGGACAGCATTCAGGCCCAGAGTTCAGGCCCCACAACCAACAACAACAACAAAAAATAATTAACGAAATAAAATAAAATCACAATATCTAATGTTAAGTCAATTTAAAGATCAAGAAGATAATGGGAATCCAGGCACTGGTGTCTCTCACCTATAGAGTGAGTAGCTATCCTAGCTACTGAGAAGTCTGAAGATCAATGTTCAAAGCCAACCTGGGCAGGAAAAGTCTGTGAGACTCTTACCTCCAATTAACCACAAAAAGATGGATATGGAGCTGAGGCTCAAGTGGTAGAGTGCTAGCCTTGAGCAAAAAAATCTCAGAGAGAGCATCCAGGCCAGGAGTTTAAGTACACACACATACAAAAAAGATAAGCTAAGGAAGCTACCATAGGCCAATAATCATAGGCAACAGTTACCTGACACCATGAATATCAAATATAGAAAGACAAAACTGCAGGGCAGGGACAGGGTACTCAGTTAGGGATAGAGCATGTGCTTAGTATTCATAAAGACTTCAATTCTCAGCAGCATTCTCCTGCCAAAAACAAACTTGTATGGTAGGAAATTTGAAAAATTATTTGAAATCAATTAAAAATAGTCTTTAAACCGAGTAGTTTTTCTTTTAATATGCCGGTCCTAGGGCCTGAATTCAGGGCTAGGCACTGTCTTTGGGCCTTTTTCTCCAAGACTGTGTTTTAACACTTGAACCACAGCTCTATTTCTGGCTTTTCTGGTGCTTAATTGGAGATGTCTCACAGACTTTCTTGCCCAGGCTAACTTTGAACCTAGATCTTCAGATCTGACTCCTGAGTAAATACTATGCCTGTATTTTATTAACGGTTATTATAAAGATGGCATACAGAGGGGTTACAGTTACAATAAGTCAGGTAAAGAATTTCTTTCTTTCTTTTTTTTTTTGTCGGTCCTGGGGCTTGAACTCTGGGCCTGAGTGCTGTCCCTCAGCTTTTCAGCTAAAGGCGTTTGCTCTACCACTTGAGCTACAGCGCCGTTTCTGGTTTTCTGGTGGTTTATTGGAGATAACAGTTTCACAGACTTTCCTGCCCAGGCTGGCTTTGAACCGAGATCCTCAGATCTCAGCCTCCTGAGTAGCTAAGATTACAGGCGTGAGCCACTGGTGCCCAGCTAAGAATTTCTTTTTGAACAATGTCACTCCTTCCTTTTTCTAAACCAAGTTTCATATGTTATATTAACCTCAAATTATTAAATCCCTTTAGATATTCTTTTACCTCCTCCATTAATGTTATTAACAATATCTGCCTCATAAATCTACTATGAAAACTAAGATAAGGAATTAAGTAAAGGTATAGAAAACCTGGCAAGGCTTAGTAACAATGTTTTCCTAAACAGTAAAATTTGAACCCAAGGGAATGTGAAGCAACTAGACATTTTTGAAAAGAAGTGATAAAATACATCTATCTGGCATTTTAGCAAATATGGATAACTTAGAAAAAAACAGCATGATTAAGAGCATGAACCTGGGAATAAGACCATGTGTCTGAATCTCAGTTCTATCACTCATTAGCCTGAGTGACAATGAAGAATCATTTAACGGGCTGGGAAAGTGGCTCAGTGGTAGAGTGCTTGTCTTGCATGCATGAAGCCCTGGGTTTGATTCCTCAGCACCACATAAGCAGAAAAGGCCGGAAGTGGCACTGTGGCTCAAGTGGTAGAGCGCTAGCCTTGAGCTGAAGAGCTGAGAGACAGCGCCCAGGCCCAGAGTTCAGACCCCACAATCGATAAAAAAAAATAATAATAATAAAAAAATTAACATTTCCAGGGCTGGGAAGGTAGCCCAGTGGTAGAGCGCTTGCCTTGCATGCATGAGGCCCTGGGTTTGATTCCTCAGCACCACATAAGAAAAAAGCCAGAAGTGGCGCTGTGGCTCAAGTGGTAGAGCGCTAGCCTTGAGCTAAAGAGCTGAGGGACAACGCCCAGGTGCAAAGTTCAGACCCCAAGACTGGACCCCCCCCCAAAAAAAATTAACATTTCCCAGCCTTACTTTTCTCATTGGCCAAATGAGAACAGTCACCTATTTCCCAGAGCAATTAACTATAAACACTAAATAGAACATGAAGGGCTAAGCACAGTTCATAACACATAAAACATGACCAATACATAGTATTTAATGGTAGTTCAGGGGCTGGGAAGGTAGCTCAGCGGTAGAGTGCTTGCCTTGCATGCATGAAGCACTGGGTTTGATTCTCCAGCACTACATAAGAAAAAGCTGGAAGTGGTAGAGCACTAGCATTGAGCTGAAATGCTGAGGGACAGCATCCAGGCCCACAGTTCAGGCCCCATGACCAAAAAAAAAAAAAAAAAAAAAAGAGTAGTTCATACACTAGTCTAAACAGGATATGAAGGCTTAGCAATGAGACCAGACAGGAAGAGCATCACAAAAGGAAGTTGACAGCGTTTATTCTGAAACTGGAGGTCCTGGACCATCAGCATTATCTAGGAACTTGATAGACTTACCAATTCTAGAGCTTACATCCTAGACTTTTTGAAATGGAAATTCAATATTTGTACACAAAGCCCTCTGGGTGAGGTTGAGGTTTATTACCATTTGAGAACTATTGGTATAGCTTTTAACATAAACCAACTAGTAAATAGACTAAAGGCTTTCAGTTACATCTATAGATTAACTGTGATCCTTGACCCCAAGCCTATCTCATTTACCAAAATGTCCTAAGTAGTGATATACCATACCAATAATAAAGAAGGTAGAAGTAACTAGTCTTCTAGCTTCAACATGAACATTTTTTTCTACCTACTGTAGAACCTACCTGGGGGAGCTGGCCTTCAGGGACCCCATCTCGGTAGAATATGATGCGAGTGGGCTTGAAGCGTGTGGACTTGTAGAACTGGATGAGCAGCTCACGCACCATATAGGATAAGTCTTCAATAATTTCCTGCCGAGGTCGCTGTACCCTCACAGTTGCACAGTATCGGCTGGGGTGGGCATCCATACTGCCTACCACCTGACAATCAAGAGAAAGCCTCTCAGTCAGACTGTGGGTTTGGAGAAACACTTCTTAGCAAGAAAATGGTAACTAAAGGAGTGAGGCTTGGGATCCATAGTTTTAATCCTACCATAATGCAAGTTTTACTTAATCTCACAGGAATATCTGCTTTCACTGCCCTTGCAGTACATATACTACCTTGTGCAAGGCCTACCCTATCCCTTCGGGGTATTAAAGATAATATTAAAGATATGATAAAATTAATTAAATTAAATATATAATTAAAGATATAATACTACTAAGTCAAACACTGGCCAGATAAGGTGGCATTAATGCCACAAAGTTGACATTAATCTTGAGGCAGACATTAGAAAAAGCCTATAACTCAGACTTCAGAAAAAGCAAGAATTTGAGGCCAGCCTGGTCTATAGTGATGCTATCTCGAGAGAGAGAGAAAGAGAAAAAGAGAGAGAGAGAGAAAATAAGTGGTTGGAGGCATGGCTTGGGTGAGCACTAGCCAATGAGTGAAAGCACCAGATACTGAGTTTGAGTCCTAATTTCAGACAAAAAACACAACAACAACAACAACAACAAAAGTAAACAATGACCTCACCTATGCCAAGTTTACCCCCTCCCATCACATGCTAAGCTACCCTGAAATTATGACCAGTGATAAGTGTTCTTGTAGTTAGTTGATGCCAATAATGTCCTTTTCGAAAGGGACAGTGCCCATGGCCCAAGGAGGGATGGCTAAGAAAGAAAACTGGAGTAAATATATTGAAGTGTTTTGCTTTCCCTTACACTAAGACAATACTAATATCTAAAAAAAAAAAAATGAGGGTAGAAACAAGAGATAAAGGAAGGCTGGATTCAAGCAATTTGGAAGCTCTATGGGCTAAGGAGCAAAAAAAGAGGAGAAAACTACAGAATGTCTAATCTATTAGATCGATCAAGGGGGAAGAGGAAAGGACAGCCTGACAACTAAGTTGGAATTCTTTAAGGATTTCAGAGAAGATATGTACAATATGTGAAAAGAGAAAAATATAAATGTAGAACAAAAGTGATGGAAGACTTGGCCAAGTTTCTGGCCACAGATTATACTCTCACTACTCTTTTCTCCTCAAACCAATACCACACAGCATTAGCTTTACAGGTAATACAAACACTGAGCTGCAAATACATTTTATGAAGCCAGAGTTAAGGCATGAAAGTCATGTGCAGTCTTGAGGGTTAGGCTACAAAGAAAGAATTACTCACTGCTGTGATAGAAGGTTTTTTCCCATCCCCTGCTGGGGGGTGTGTAACATCCGCTCCCAGGAATATCACTGGCTGTTGAAAGACAGCAGAGCTGAGCAAGAAAGAGAAAATACAATGGTGAGGAACTAGATCTTCACTGCTTGGCACTATCTGATACCCACTTTGGTCTTCTCCCTCTTATATGTCTGATTTAATCTGTTTGGTCAGAGTCCTGACTCTTCATCAATCCCCAGCAGGATACCATGACAAGAGTAAATGAACAACAGAGTTCATACCGCTGATGTGGGACTAGGATGTTGTTAATGCCACCAAGTTTCACATTAATCTTGAGGCAGAGATTGGACAAAGTCTGAGGTGAGGTCTTGACCACGTTCTTCACCTGCACACACTGTGTTGCCATTCCCAAGAGTGTATCTCCAACACGTTTCACCTCAGCTAATGACAGGGAGAGAAATGATGAGTGCAGTCAACAAATTTACTAAATGCTTTGTAAATGCCAGGCAGTCTGTGAAGTACCAGGGGAAACAATGGCAACTAGAAACACATAAGATTTCTACTTTTAAAGTGCTTACCATCTAGTGACTAATTTTAAAAATTGTGAAATTACAACACTGATAAATGCTACAACAAAAAACTACATGGAGCTTTGAGAACATGTAATAGGAGATAATAACCTAGTCAGGAGGATATTTTTGAGCAAGTAATGACTGAACTAAAATGTGGAGAAGGGTTTGAGAGAGCATTCCAGGCCGTGGAACAACATGCAAAAATAAAAATGTATTCTTGACCAAATATGATGGCGCATGCCTATAATCGCAGTACCTGGGGAGGCTGAGGCAGGAGGTTCAAGAGTTCAAGGCCCACCTGGACCACATAGTGAGTTTGAGGACAGCCCGAGCTACATATTGGCTCAAATTAAATAAATAAATAAATAAATGTTATCTGCTAAATATATTTGAGAAATTGGAAGGCCATGTCAACTAAAAAAAGGAGAGCAAGGGAAGAACAAAATTTGTTCACTAAACTCATCTGCAGAAGAGATTTGGGAAGAGTTATTGGGTTAAGGATATAATTCAGTGGTAGGTACTTGTGTTTAGAACTCAATCCTCAACACCAAAAGAAAAAGTTGAGTTGTTGCGATAGAAACAAGTAGACTCAAGAGATATGTAAAGAACTGAGTTAGAGACTAGATGCAAAAAGGAAATATCTTTCATGAATAACTTTTAATTTCTAGATTTTCTAGTGTGTATGTGACATTTTGAGTTTGAAGTGCTTTTTTGATATCCTAATAACAACATCATTTAGGTAAATGGCTAGGGAGGAAGGAAGGAAGGAGAGCAGGCAGGCAGGCAAGAAGAGAAGGAGATAGGGAGGGAAGGAGAACGGGAGGGAGGGAGGGAGGGAGAGAGGGAGGAAAGAGGCAAGTCACAGAGCAGAGAGGGTACATGTAATAACAATACATATTCAGCACAGGTATTATAAAGAATACCTATACATCAGGGCTGGGAACACAGCTAAAGTGGTACAGCACTTGCCTAACAAACATGAGGCTCTGAGTTCAAACCCCAGTTCTGAAGGAGAAAGAAAAAAAAAGCTAAAATGTGTTATATTTATATGATGGAAAATATATAATAAACGGTAACTATATACAACATGGACGAATCTCAGAAACTTAACTGAAAGAAGCCAGATGCAACAAAAGTACATACAATACAATTCACCTTAAATCAAAAATAGCTGCCATGGTGTAGGTGTGGGATAGTGATGGTTAACAGTCTGCTAAGTACTTGTTAGTTATGCTGTTGTGACACTATGTAAAAAAAATCACTGAACTGAACATTTAAGATGTTTATTTGTTTTATTATTTAATAAAAAGCTTATTTTTTTAAAAAAGTCAATAATGATAGGGCACAATGAATCATGTATGTAATTCCAGGTACTTAAGAGACCAAAATAGGGAGCACTAATGTTCAAGGCCAGCCCAGGCAAAAAAAAAAAAACTCACAGTATAATTTGTCTAAGTCAGTTACAACCAGTACTGAAATTCAGAACAGTGTTTTTTCCATTTCTAGTATATGTGGCAAATGAACACTGTAAGATAAAGCTGGAAAGATTAAGGTAAGATTAGGGCCCTGAAAACTCCTGATGGAATAGTGAATGGGTATCAGTGAAGGATTTTTGTGATTGTTATTATTTATTTAGGTATAATTGTTACAAAAGTCTTATCTGGCATTCTTATGCAAGACTTGAAAAGAGCTGGGCACTGGTGGCTCATGCCTGTAATCCTAGCTACTCCGGAGGCTGAGATCTGTGGATTGCAGTTCAAAGCCAGCCCAGGCAGGAAAGTCCATGAGAATCTTATCTCAAATTAACCACCAGAAAACTGGAAGTGGCACTATGGCTCAAGTGGTAGAGCGATCACCTTGAGCTGAAGAGCTCAATGACAGCACCCAGGCCAGAGTTCAAGCCCCACAACCAAAAAAAGAAAAAAAGAAAGAAACAAAGACTTGAGAAGAAAAGTTAAAATTATGGAAGAGAGAAAGGCTAAAGGGATTAATGAGAATTAAGATTCAAGAGCTGGATCATGACTTTACTACTATAACTTATAACAACAGATAATGGCTGAAATCAGTGAAATGAATGAGAAACAATAGGATGAAAAAGTAAGAGAGAAAGCAGAGGACAGAAAACTGAAGAATACTTGGCAGTCATAGTAAAGACAAAAAAATAAAGTGGAATAGGGAGAAAATGCAGAAATCACAGGAATAGGAGAAGTGATAAAGGTAGTAGTGACCTTTGTAGAGGAGGCTGAGGAAAAAGGTAGTCAAGATGGAGGAAAGAAGCTAATGAGTAAGTAGCTGGTGAGGATAGGAGCATAGAGAATATAGAGAACTCATTAACAAAATCCAAAGAAAAACAATAGGAAGTTAAAGGAAATAGCAAATTTGTAGAACCGTGCTATACTGTTTGAAGACTGAAAGGCATGAAGTCTCAAAGGGACTAGATAGGAACACAAGCACAGAGGAGCTGAACTAAGGTAAAAGGAACAGTAATGTCTTTAAAAGAGGAGAAATAGAAAAAATGGAATGCTGAGCCAGATGCCTATTCAGTTAAACACACACACACACATACATACACAAACATACACACAAAACCCAAAAACAAATAAAAAACAGAAAAAGAGGAGAGAAATATCTCAAAATGTCCAGGTCATTACAACAAAAAAACAGCAGAAACACTACACATTCTGTTTGGGCTATCCTAATAACACACTCGTGAGGATAGGTATCTGGTCATCTTAGCCTAGAAGAAAGCCCAGTACATAAAGTATACCAGTGAATGTTAGTAGAAAGATGTGTGAGGAGGTAAGTCAAACCATGGACTGACTCAATGATTCATAAAGTATGGTACTTCTTGGATAAAAGGAATACTGATACTGAGAGACATATCTGGCCAAAGCCACAATTCTCTAGACTCCTCCATGTAAAAAGTCCCCAGGAAGGTACTAGCCTTAGAAGAGTGCTACTATCATTATTACTGTTCCAAGAGAACTGTACCATACACTGGCGTCTTCCCAGGCAAGATGACGATAATGAGCTGCAGCCCTGAGTAGGTGTTCTTGAGATGCCGGAACATGGGCTCCACACTGTCTGCCCCCTGTGCATATTTGCAGAAACAAGGCTGACCCTGGATGGGCATCCCTGCATCCTTGGAAATCTTCCGAAGCTGGTCTGTGAAGTTCCTGTAGCACAAGCATGGTCATGACAGGAAGCAGTAAGTCTCACTTGAGACACAAGTGAAATATAATTACAAATGAAATATAGTTAGAGCTAGTGTTAAAAAATACATTTATAAAGGGTTGGGAAGGTGGCTCAGTGATAGAGTGCTTGCCTTGCATGCATGAGGCCCTGGGTTCGATTCCTCAGCACCACATAAGCAGAAAAAGTCAGAAATGGCGCTGTGGCTCAAGAGGTAGAGTGCTAGCTTTGAGTGGAAGAGCTGAGGGACAGTGCCTAGGCCCAGAGTTCAAGCCCCACAACTGACAAAAAAAAAAGCATATAATAATAAAAAAAATACATTTATAAGCCAGGTGTTGGTAGTTCACACCTGTAATCCTAGCTACTCAGGAGGCTGAGCTAGGAGGATCATGGTTCAAAGCCAGCCCAGGCAGGAAAGTCCATGAGACTCTGATCTCAAATTAACCACCAGAAAACTGTAAGTGGAGATATGGCTCAAGTGGTAGAGTGCTTGCTTTGAACTGAAGAGCTCAGGGTCAGTGCCTAAGCCCAGAATTCAAGCATCACAACCAACAACAACAACAAAAAAGCATAATCAACTAGTACAACATATAACTTGCTAAGTGTTTAACTAGAGAGAACACTAAGGAAGTTGGGGGCTCAGAGGAGGGACCTATGGGAGTTCCCATGGCTCCTACTTATCCTGCTTGATTGGGATCTATACAGACCTGGAATCCATTAAATACCCAAACAAATAAGCAGTGTCTAAGTGCAAGGCCTTTGTGCTCAAAATAAAGGTCGTTTCAAAGTGTTAGGAGCACAGGAGATACCCCAACTGGTGCTTTGAAGCCTAAGAGCCAATTCATAAATGAGTTTTGTTCCTCTGGCTTTTACCCTGGGAAAGGAAAAGAAATTTGGTACAGGGTATATAGGTAGGAGAGTAAATATAAACTATATAATACACTGATGGATTACAATGGATAGCAAATAAGTAAATATGTAAAAATCTTGTATTTATTCAAAAGTGTTGATTGACAGAACACTTGCCTAACATGCACAAGACCCTGGGTTTGGTCCCTAGTACTGAAAACAAAAACAAAACTAAATAATTAAAAACAGTAATATACAAATAGAAAATGGAAGCTGGGTGCTAGTGGCTGAGATCTGAGGATTGCCAGCCTGGGCAAGAAAGTCTGTGAGACTCTTATTTCCAATAAACCACCAGAAAACTGGAAGTGATGCTATGGCTCAAGTGGTAGAGTGCTAGCCTTGACTGAAGAGCTAAGGGACAGTGCCCAGGCCCAGTGTTCAAGCCCCATGGCCAACAAAAAAAAAGAAAATTGAAAACAGAAGTGAATGTTTAGACATGTTTTTAGACAATACTTAAATACCAATAATTTTACTAAGAAAAGTATTTGTAATTTCATCTAAAATTTTAAATCAGCTGGGCACAGGTGGCTCATGTCTATAATTTTCAGAAGCTGAGATCTGAGGATTGAGGTTCAAAGCCAGTCCCAGCAGAGAAGTCCATGAGATGCTTAGCTCCAATTAACCACCAGAAAACCATAAGAGGTACTGTGGCTGAAAGTGGTAGAGGCTAGCCTTGAGCGCAAAAACTCAGGGACAGTGTCCTGGTCTAGAGCTCAACCCCCATGAATGACAAAACAAATAAAATAAAAATTTAAATCCTTGGGCTGGGAAGGTGGCTCCGTGGTAGAGTGCTTGCCTTTCATGCAAGCCTGGCCCTAGCTTCGATTCCTCAGCACCACATAAGCAGAAAAAGCTGGAAGTGGCGCTGTAGCTCAAGTGGTAGAGCGCTAGCCTTGAACTGGAGGGACAGCGCCCAGGCCCAGAATTCAGGCCCCACGACCGACAATAAAAAAATAAATTTAAATCCTTTATATATGTATAGTCTTTAAAATATATAAATTGGATAGGAAGGCTATAATAATGCTTCACAAATGACTGCATCAAAAGGGAGGAATAAGCCAGGTTCTGGTGGCTCATGTCAATTTAATCCTAGCATTTGAAAGACAGAGAGCTGAAGGATCAGTTTGAAACCAGTCAGGGCAGGAAAGTCTGTGAGACTTCCAAATAACCACCAAAAAAGCCAGAAGTAGAGCTGTGGCTTGAGTATTAAAATGCTAGCCTTGAGCAAAAAAGCTCAGGGACAGCACCTAGACACTGAGTTAAGCCCCAGGACAGGTACAGGAAGATAAATAAATAAAAATAAAGGAGGAATGAGACTAGGATGGAGGTTACAAATGAATATCAAATTTATTTATAATGTGTATTTTTGAAAAAAAAAGTTTGACAAAATGAGTGTTTTTAATATTGTTCTCTGCATTTATCATTCTCTAAAAATAAACATTAAAATAAAAAGCTACAACCTGATCATTCTTTCACATGAATAAGAGTTATTTCTTCCATTTCTTTGTGTTGTACACAACTGTAGTGTAGCTACCAAAAATGCTGATGCATTTAGCAGACTGTGTTAACAGATTCCATTAATAGTGGGTTATTCCCTATGTCCTCTTGACTCCCAACTATACTCAGAATACTGTATCCAGTATTGGTAACCAAAAAGTGTTGAGAGGTCTAGAGTAGGAAATCTCTTGCAATTGTCTTCTAAAAGCTATAGAGTCTCTTTAGTAAGAAAAATAAAAACTTTTGTTTTCTTGAGAGTTGAAAAAACTTTCTCATCCATATGTAAATACCAAATTTCTACAACTCCACAGCAACCACGATGCCTTCTCTTTCCTTCCAGTGCCATGAGTGCCTTTTCTCTCTGTTTGGATACCCTCTTCCTACAGACATAAAGAGACTTTGCTCTGTGTATGTACTAGTTTTTTTTGTTTTTTTAATTCTATTTTCAGCCTCTGCTTACTACACACATTCTTCCTGGAAAATCTTCTCATTTACTGTCATGGTTAAATACTCAGAAATCTTTATTTGTAGCCCTAAATCACACATCAAACTGGGTATCATCACTGACCTACTGTTCAAGTCTCATTTTTATCTCCTGTATCTAAGAGTCACTGGGAGAAGAGGATGACCAAAATATTAACCCCGTGCAAGTCTGATAAACAGTTTCCAAAAGAATTAGAAGTGGGGGAGGACACAAGTGTAAGAGAAGCACACCAGAAGGCTGGGGCATGGTTCAAATAGTAGAGGATCTGTTTAGCAAGTGCAGAGCCCTGAGTTCAAATCCTAATACAGCAATAAAGAAAAAAAGAGAGAAACACAGACATAGATCAGGGTTACCAAAGAGATAGCTATAGCAAAAAGGCAGAGTCATCCAATATTGCTAAGGGCTTACCCTCAATACCAGATCAAGTTAAGGAATAAGTACCCTCATTTAAGCTAAAACCTAAAGAACACAGGAGCTGGGCACTGGTGGCTCATGCTTGTAATCCAAGCTACTCAGGAAGCTGAGACCTGAGGATCACAATTCAAAGCCATCCTAGGAAGGAAAAAGTCTAGTGAGACTCTTATCTCTAATTAACCACCAAAAATCCAGAAAGAGCTGTGGCTCAAGCAGTAGAGTATTAGTCTGGAGCAATCAAAGCTTAGGGACAGTGCATGCCCAGGCCCTGAGTTCAAGCTTCAGTACTGGCACCAAAAACAAAGAAATGAACAGGAAAAGGGGAGAGAAGGAGAGAACGAGAAGAAGAGAGGAAGAGAGAGAGAGAAATAAAGAAAGAAATGAAGAAAGAAAGAATGAAGAAAGAGAGAGAAATAGAGAAAGAGAGAGAGAAAGGAAGGAATGGAAGGAGGGAAAGGAAAGGGAAAAGGAAAAGGAAAAAGAAAGGAGAAGGAGGGGATGGAGCCAGAGAGGGAGAGAGAAAGGGAGAGAAGGAAAGAGGGAAGGAGGGAGGGAGGGAGGAAGGAAGGAAGAAAGAAGGGAAGGAAAGAAGGGAAGGAGAGAGGGAGAGAGAAAGGAAGGAAGAAAGAAAGAAAAAAGAGAGAGGAAGGAGCAAAGAAACAGGAAAAGGTAGAAAAAGAAGAGGAAAGAGGAGGAAGAAGAGGGAAAAAATCTTTTGAAAATAAACTACAATTTGTGATGGTGGTGGCTATATATTTGGATATGGTAGGTCGGTAGGGAGAGGAGAGGCCGGGCCCACTGTCACTGAATCCTTCAAGAGCTGCTAGAACTGATTACCCAGACATCAAGGCTATCTGAAGCCACAAGGGCCATATGTCTCCATTATTTTCATCACACCAAAATGGTCAGCTCCATTGACACTTACGCATTCCCAGAATACAGTGATTCCACTCTACAGCTAGAGACACAACACCATACACTCTAATAAGTGTGTTTTGTGAATTTTTTTAACATATTGCAATAAAAAAGGGAAATGTCTGTGCATTTTTTTCACTTATTTTTCACTCACTAGAGCCATTATTCCTCCAGCCAGTTTTGTTAAACCATCTGATATAAAGTAAGAATTTTCTTTTTATTTTTTTGAGAAGGGCCTCACTACATTGCCCACAGTGGTCTTAGACTTGTGGCTGGGACTGTGGGTACATGCCACCATGACAGAGCCTGTCATAACCTGTATTTTGCAGTAAATGGATGAACCCTAGGTTCTCAGAGAAGTTAGGCAAGTGTTCTGCCACTGAGCTTTAAGCCATCTGGTAATATCATTTTCCTCTTTTCTGCTATCTACTACCAGCCCCTTAGACATGATGATGCTCTTCCAACTATGGTCTCCCAATTCAGGCCACTTGGACCTGAGTGAACAAATTCTATTCATAAAGCACAGCTTAGAGGACCAGCTAAAACAGTTACTTTTTGTTGTTGTTCCCAATTAGAAACACAAATTTTGAAGCTGAGATCTGATTTGGTATCGATTCTAATATGTTCTTGATGTGCAAACTTTGGACAAGTTATTTAACCTTTTTAACCCTGAGTCTCCCAAAAGTGGGAATATCATTACCTACTCTATGAACACAAAACAAGAGAAACAGCCAAGCACTAGTGGTTCATGTCTATAATCCTAGCTACTCAGGAGGCTGAGATCTGAGGGTTGTAGTTAAAAGCCAACCCAGGCAGGAAAGTTCATGAGACTGTTAGCTCCAATTAACCACCAAAACGCCAGAAAGTAAAGTTGCGTTCAAGTTACGGTAGAGTGTTAGCTTTGAGCAAAAAAAACTCAGGGACATCACCCAAATCCTGAGTTCAAACTCCCTGAGCGAAACAAAAAGAGAGAAAGAGAGAGAAAGAAACAAGTGAGGTACATAAGTACAATGTTGGTATAAACATTATAATAATCACTACTACTACTAAAGTCTCCTTACGGCTTTTATTAGAGATAGAAAGGGAACAGTGTGAACCAGAATGGACAAAGCAGACTGAGTCAAGACAAAAGAGCAGACTATAAATCAATCTTGACCTCTGGGTGGGCAAGAACAGTGGCTCTGAGGTCTTTCCCACACTTCCAAGCCCACACCCAGCCCTCCTTACTTGAGCACCTCTTCTCGACATTGTTTTTGGGGTGCGAAGCAGGCGATGGCCCAGACTTTGATCTCAATACCATTGTAGAACTGTTTCCCACGCATGTCCCAGACACCTTGGTTGGGTGTGGCAATGGCCCGGTTCTGGGGATAGGCAGAGGGGGCGCCCAGGTGAGCCTCAATAGAGCCAAGTGGGTAGGGAGCAAAAGCCCCTGGCTATACAATCCAACCACCCCCATAGGCCCCAGAGATGTTGTCTGGCCCTGACCCTGCTCACCCGGCCGCCGTACTGCAAGATGGGCGCCGGCAGCACTCGCCCTGTCACCTCCGTCATGTCATCCTTCACTTTGATTCCAAATTCTTGGATATAGGGATCCAGATTGTAGCTGGCATTCTTCATCTACAGAGCAAAATAAGGAAATCTCAGGAAAGCAGTAGTCTGGCAATCACCCTCTTGAGGAGTAAGTTCTAAGGAGAAGCTGAAACTACAAAGAAATAGTACTAAAAAGGAATGTGAAGATGAGGACAGGTAGAGAATAAAAAGAAATAGAAGTCGATAATGAAGGAAATTATAAAGGAGGGGAAAGAGAAGCAAAATAACTAAAGGGTCAAGAAGCAAGAACAACCCAATGAAGTTACAGGCAACACATTCAGACCTGGGTTCTCCTTGAGTACAGCATTAAAGTACTCTCAAGGCCCCTACAGGCTGGGTAAATAAACAATCATTTCTCTACAGCTCCACTAACCAGGCGACTGATTTCCTCCTGTCTGTCTGGTGCCGACCTAGCTGTAGCCTTTATCATAGTTGAAGTCTGGTTGTCTGTCAGCTTCTTAATGCAGCGTTGTCCAGCCACTATGTTACAGACCTGAGAAAATGAGAAAGACAGGTAGCTCTGGCTTGAATATAGGATATCAACCTGAAATCTTGACTATAAACCATCGTAAATGGACTACACAATGGCTATATATGCATATATTCTTGAGATTTACTTGATGTGTAAGTCCGAGAATACGTGTATATAACAAAAGGGAGTACTACTTCCTTGTTGCTAAGAATTTGGTATCCAAAACCAGATTTGGGATCAGATAGTATATGTTAATAATAACAATATTATGGAGTTGTCTGGAGATTAAAAATGGAATTAAGGGCTGGGATGGTGGCTCCGTGGTAGAGTGCTTGCCTTGCATGCATGATACCCTGGGTTCGATTCCTCAGTACCACATAAGCAAAAAAGAAAAATAGCCAGAAGTGGAGCTGTGGCCAAGTGGTAGAGCGCTAGCCTTGAGCTGAAGAGCTGAGGGACAGCACCCAGGCCCAGAGTTCAGGCCCCATGACTGGCAAAAAATAAATAAATAAATAAAAATAAAAATGGAATTAAGCCATGGCTCACATCTTGTAATCTTCCTATTCAGGAGGCTGAGATCTAAGGATTAAGGTTCAAAGCCAGTCTGGGCAAGAAAGTCCAAAGAGATTCTTATCTCCAATAAACCACCAAGCCGGGCGCTGGTGGTTCACGCCTGTAATCCTAGCTACTCAGGAGGCTGAGATCTGAGGATCGCGGTTCAAAGCCAGCCCGGGCAGGAGAGACCGTGAGACTCCTATCTCCAATAAACCACCAGAAAGCCGGAAGTGGCCCTGTAGCTCAAGCGGTAGAGCGCTTGCCTTGAGCTGAAGAGCTGAGGGACAGCGCCCAGGCCCAGAGTTCAAGCCCCATGACCGACAAAAAAAAAACAATTAACCACCAAAAAGCTAAAAATGGAACTGTGGCTTGAACTCTGGGCCTGGGCATTGTCCCTCAGCTCTTCAGCTCAAGGTTAGCACCCTACCACTTGAGCCACAGCACCACTTCCATTTTTGTTTTTGTTTTTTGCTTATGTGGAGCTGAGGAATCAAACCTACGGCCTCATGTATGCAAGGCAAGCACTCTATCACTGAGCCACCCTCCCAGCCGAAGCTTTGCATTTCTAAGTGAAGTTACCTTGAGCAGATCTCTTCACTACTCTGAGATTTAGTTTTTTTTGTTTTTTTTTTTTGTTTTTTGGGTCCCGTCCTGGGGCCTGAACTCTGGGCCTGAGCACTGTCCCTCAGCTCTTCAGCTCAAAGCTAGCGCTCTACCACTTGAGCCACAGCGACACTCCCGGCTTTTTCTTTTTTGCTTATGTGGTGCTGAGGAATCGAACCCAGGGCCTCAGGCATGCAAGGCAAGCCCTCTACCACTGAGCCAACTTCCCAGCCCAGTTTGTTTGTTTGTTTTTGTAGGTCACGGGGCTTGAACTCTGGGCCTGGGCACTGACCCTTAACTCTTCAGCTCAAGGCAAGCTTTCTACCACTTGAGCCACAGCACCACTTCCAGTATTCCGGTAGTTTATTGGAGATAAGAGTCTCATAGACTTTGCTGCCTGGGCTGGTTTTGAACAACGATCCTCAGATCTCAGCCTCCTGAGTAGCTAGGATTATAGGTGTAAGCCACTGACGCCCAGCTAAGATTTAGCTTCTTTTTATCTCAGACATGAGAAAAAATACGAGCTCATATCTCATATTGTTGTAGAGACTCAGATGCAATGAAATGTTTACATGAGGCCAATGTTCTCTATGTATTAGCTGTTGTACTTATTCCTAGAGTTTATGATAAACAATGGGAGGGAAAACCAGGCCAAAGTCACTTGCTTTTAAATTCCATAGTCTAAAGAATATACAAAATAACAAATTCATAAGGAACATCCAAAATTATTAAAATTTACTGTTTTAAAGGTGATTTAAAGTTATAGCACTATCAATAGATGGTTTCAGCTATAAAATTTAACACTACCAAGACTAAAACAGGGATGTGATAAAATGGTAACTGGTAACAAGACATGGTAGTGAAAATGCTGTGTGATTCCTCAAAAAAATTAAACACAGTATTACCATATGAATGTGAAAGTTAATTTAAATATAGTTACATATGAAAATATATACAGGACAATATACATATATATACAATCAAATTTATATATATACAATCAAATTGAGTGAAGTATGGTATACACAGAGGTGGAGCAATTAACCCACAGCTTAACAAAATGAATACCTGGAAACTGAAATAGGTCTTTTCTGAAGAGCATAAGGAGGAGGGTGAACAAATGTAGGATACATACATGAGAATGGAACAAGGCAACGTGAGGGGGCAGGAAAGAGGAGAAGCAAAGAATGACGAAGAGGTGACAATGATCAAGATACACTGTACACATAAATAGACATGTTGAATTGAAACCCCTTTCTACAACTATATAAAGATAATAAAAATATTTTTTAAAAAGAAATTACTGGGGGGGAGGTGGGGGGGAGGCTGGGAAGGGATGGGAAGGGTAAACAAGGAGGAGGCTACAATGCTTGATAATAAACGTACTCATTATCTTGCCCATGTAATTGTAACCCCTCTGTACAGTACTTTCACAATAAAAAAAAAAAATTACTGGGCTAGGAATGTGGCTTAGTGGTACAGGGCTTGCCTAACATGCATGAAGCCCTGAGTTTGATTCCTTGTACCACATACACAGAAAAAGCCGAAGTGGCACTATGGGTCAAGTGGTAGAGTGCTAGTCTTGAGCAAAAAGAAGCTCAGGGACAGTGCATAGGCCCTGAGTTCAAGCCCCAGGACTGGCAAAAAAAAAATCCTTAGATTTAAGCTTGGAGCGGTGGCTAACACCTGTAATCCTAGCTACTCAGGAGGCTGAGATCTGAGGATCATGGCTCAAAGCTAGCCAAGGCAGGAAAGTCCAAGAGACTCTTATCTCTAATAAACCACTCAGAAAACCAGAAGTGGCTCAGTGGCTCAAGTGGTAGAGCACTAGCCTTGAGCTGAAGAGCTGAGGGAGAGCACCCAGGCTCACAGTTCAAGCCCCAGGACCCACCAAAAAATGAAAAGAAAGAAAGAAAGAAATTACCATATAAACTAGTAATCTACTTCTAGGTATGGAATCAGAAGAAAAAAAACCAGGGGCTTGAACAGGTATATATACACCTGCTATAGACACGCCTTTGTTCATGGCAGAATTACAGTAGCTACAGTTTATCAGTGGATAAAAATTTAAAGTAAATGTAGTATACACATTCAAAGAAATACTATTTTTGTTTGTTTTTGGCCAGTCCTGGGGCTTGAACTCAGGGCCTGGGCACTGTCCCTGAGCTTCTTTTGCTCAATCCTAGCACTCTACCACTTGATCCACAGCACCACTTTGGCTTTTTCTGTGTTTGTGGTACTGCGGAATCAAACCCAGGGCCTCATGCATGCAAGACAAGCACTCTACCACTAAGCCACATTCCCAGCCCCCAGAGAAATATTATTTAGCCCTTAAAAATGCAGGAAATGCAAGTGGCTTACACTTGGGAGGCTGAAGCCAGCCCAGGTAGGAAAGTCCATGAGACTCTCATCGCTAAAAAACTACTCAGAAAAAGCTGGAAGTGGTACAATAGCTCAAGTGGTAGAACACTAGCCTTGAGTACAACCTGGCTCAGGGACAGCACCCAGGCCCTGAGTTTAAGCCCTAGAACTGGCAAAAAAAAAAAAAAATGCAGGAAGTGGGGCGTCAGTGGCTCAAGCCTGTAATCCTAGCTAGTCAGGAGGCTGAGATCTGAGGATCAAGGTTTGAAGCCAGCCCAGGAAGAAAAGTCTGTGAGACTCTTATCTCCAATAAATCACCAGAAAAACGGAAGTGGTTCTGTGGCTCAAGTGGTAGAGTGTTGAGCCTTGAGCTGAAGAGTGCCAGGACAGCACCCAATCCCAGAGTTCAAGCCCGATGACTGACAAAAAAAAAAATATGCAGGAAATTCTAAGATCCCACAACATGAATGAATCTTGTTGATATGGTAACAGTAATAAGCCAGGCTATGACAGAAAAATATTAACGCTGCCATTTATATACATTACCTAGAATACTCAAATTCATAGAAACATGAAGTAGAATAGTCATTGCTAGGGCTAGAGGGGAGAGATGCAGAGAGTTGCTATTTCCTTGGTATGATTTCAGTTTGGGATGGTGAAAATTTCTGGAGATGAATAATGGTGATATATAACACTGTAAACATACTTAGTGCTACAAAACTCTACACTTAACTGTTAAAATGGTAAATTTCATGTAATGCATATTTTACTGCAATATGACAAAAAAAAAGGACGATAGCAGGAATGAACTATTTAAATATGAACAAATCATTTTGCTGAGCCTTTCAGTGTTACTGGATAACAATTTAATGAAACTGTTGAACTGGATTGGAGGCTATTTCTAGTTTCTACCTATGAAGATTCAAGTAATTCATTGTTCTACTTTAAAGTCTTCCAATAGATTCCTATTATGATTAGAGTAAAATCCAACCTGACCAAAACTTTGAACCTTACTAATTTGTTGATAGAATTGTAAAATAGCAATGACACTTTGGGAAACAATCTGGCACATCCTCAAGATGTTCAACATAATTATACACACATATAAAGTATACTACTATACTACATCTGGCCTAACCTGTTTTATTATTTTTGTTTGGGACTGGCAAGGTTTAAACTCAGGGCCTTAAACTCTCATTTGACCTTCTTGCTCAGAGCTGACCCTCTACAACTTGAGCCATACCTATAGTTTGGCATTTTGCTGGTTAATTAGAAATGGACTATTGTAGACTTTTCTGCCCAGGCTGACTTTGAGCCACCATTCTCCAGATTGCAGCCTCCTGAACAGGTAGGCTTATAGGCATGAGCCTCTACTGCCTGGCTTGTTTTATTATTCTTATAGCACTTACTACCATCTGAAACTGTGTTTTTTTACTGTTATATTTACTGTCTTTCCCTTCCAGAATATAAATTCCATAACAGCAAGAATCTTGTCTGTCTTACAAATCTCTATATTCCCAGAATTTAAGAGTTTATAACACATACTAAAGCATAATAAATCAAGAAATAATCATTACATGAATTAATCACCTTGAAAACTATTGTTTAAACAGAACTATTGTTGGGCTAGGACATTAAGTGGTACAATGACTGATTAGCAAGCATGTACCCCAGTACCATCAAAACAAAAACAAAACAACAATGAGCAGAAATCATGTTAATCTGCTAGCAAATCTCAGCTTACAATATATAGTAACAGCTCTCAGCTGGAATTGTTCCTAAAGACTTGTGGTCTACTTCCCCATTGCAATTTTGGAGAATGAACCTATGGTCTTCCACTTACTAGACAAGTGCTCTATCACTTGAAGCATGCCTCCATCCAAAACTTGTTTATACTTCAAACAAATATTGTTTTCTTCCCCCTTTCTGTGCCATCAGCAGCTACTACTTTTGAAGGTCTTTTCTCAGTCTCATTTCCTTGGGTTAGTAGTGATATGCTTGAAGCTCACAGGAGGCTTGAACTTCGGTCTAAGCTATCTGACTTCTGCTACTGTAAAAAAGGGGATAGTGTAGGCTAGTGTTCCTTCAACTTTAATGTATATGTAAATCCCCTTTGGACCTCCTTAAAAGACAGATTCTGACTCAGTATATATGGGTAGAGATTCTGCATTTAAAAGAAGCTCTCAAGTAATATCTATTCTGTTGGTACACTGATCATACTTTTTGAGGACCAGACAATGAAGCTGTCAGCAGTAGTTTTTCATTAAAAATTTTACTTAGAGTACACCAAACCAAACACAACCCAGTGATTCTACATGTTTCCACAACTTAAATAGCATTATTATACTTTAACTGCAATATTTTCCAGTGCATTATAGTATTTCTATTGTAATATAAAAGTACATGTCTTACAGCTAAAATTTTTCCTTCCTTCCCTTCTTTCCTTTCTTCCCTCCTCCTCCTTCTTCACCCTCCCCTCTTTCTCTCTTTCATTCTTTTGCTGGCACTAGGGTTTGAACCCAGAGCCTTGTATTCCTTTGGCCTTTTTGCTCACATCTGGTATTCTACCACATGAGCCACACCTTCAGTTCTTACAACTTTTTCAAAAGGATTACATTAACCATCAGAGAAATAGAATGTACATTATAGGTAATAGTTATCTCCATTTTCTTTAAAATAAAGTATGTTTGTTACTCCTGGTCACTTAGAATCTCTAACTCTAAATGGGGAAAGAGAAATTAAGAGAACATGGGTATGGGTATCTGCTATCTCTGCCCTGACCCAAACTAATTTACTTATTTGGTTTGTTGTTGTTGTTGTTCTGCCAGTCCTAGGACTTGAACTCATGGCCTGGGCACTATCCCTTGAACCACAGTGCCCCTTCCGGCTTCTTCTGTTTATGTGGCACTGAGGAATTGAACCCAAGGCTTCATGCATTGTAGGCAAGCATTTTACCACTAAGCCACCAGTCATGGTGCCTGAACTCAGGCCTGGGCACTGTCCCTCAGCTCTTCAGCTCAAGGCTAGTGCTTTACCACTTGAGCCACAGTGCCACTTCCACCTTTTTCTGCTTATGTGGTGCTGAGGAATCGAACCCAGGGCCTCATGCTTGCAAGGCAAGCGCTCTACCACTGAGCCACCTTCCCAGCCCCACTAAGCCACATCTCTAGCCCTAATTTACTTATTAAACAGTAAATAAAGCTTGCCCTTCTGGCTAACAGCCCTGATCATGAGAGTAAAAAAAGAATAAGAAAAAAATTAAGCAAGAATGAGGCTTATAGCGGGCGCTGGTGGTTCACACCTGTAATCCTAGCTACTCAGGAGGCTGAGATCTGAGGATCACGGTTCAAAGCCAGCCCGGGCAGGAAAGTCCGTGAGACTCTTATCTCCAATAAACCACTAGAAAACCGGAAGTGGCGCTGTGGCTCAAGTGGTAGAACTCTCGCCTTGAGCTGAAGAGCCCAAGGACAGCACCCAAGTCCAGAGTTCAAGCCCCACAACCGACCAAAAAAAAAAAAAAAAAGAATGAGGCTTGTTACACATAAGAATTACCTACTATCTTCTCAGAATACCAATTTTCCAAATTTTAAAATGAGGATGAGATTAGGAACCAACCAACTGACCTCTGATGATCAATGTTCAGGTATAATGCCTGTTACTAGCCCAACCAAAATTTGGCAGTCTCACCTCTAGTGGGAGATAGGTATGCTTTTGTTCCTGGCCAACTTGCAGGCAGGGCAGGTGGGGATACTTGAGCTGAAGATTATATTTCTGTTTGAAATATTGTGCCACTGTGCACTCTACTGTCTGTCCACTCTCCAACTGCAAGGGAAACCTGTTTGGAAAAAAGGAAAGGTGATGTCATAAGCAAGCATTCAATCTTATCTCTCTCTAGATCCACACCACAGAAAGTTTCATCCTTTACTTCTTCCTACTGGACCTCTTTGACCTCTGTCACTCATGAAAAAGCAGATAATACAGGGCTACAAGGGAAAAGCCAAAGATTTGAGGACAAAGTTCCCCAACAGTCAAAGCCATGTCTGACTCATCTATTTTTTGTTGTTGTTGGTTGTGGGGCTTGAACTCCGGGCCTGGGCGCTGTCCCTCAGCTCTTCAGCTCAAGGCTAGCACTCTACCACTTGAGCCACAGCGCCACTTCCGGCTTTTTTCTTTTTGCTTATGTGGTGCTGAGGAATCGAACCGAGAGCCTCATGCATGCAAGGCAAGCGCTCTACCACTGAGCCACCTTCCCAGCCCTCATCTATATTTTTAATGTTGAACATAAAGCCAGACACTGAGTAGGTACACCAGAGTCCAGTGAAGTCAAGAAGGGGGATAGAACACCTCCCAGGTTAACCAAGATTAGCCTTTTTCCAAGGTTAAGTTCAGGAGCCTGGCATTCCTTTTCTTTACAAAAGAGAAATGGAGATTCTAATATTTAAAGATCTATAACAGGAATCAGTGGATCATGCTTGCTCTACAGTAAAGGCCCAAAGAGAAGATAAAAATTGGAGAGTAGGCAATGGACCTTGGAAAGTTGGAGACAGATGCTACATTCGTATAGCTTGTCTCCAAAACCAGGGCTAGTCTAAAGCTCATTCCCTAGGACAGGTGGAAGGGAAGAGGGTGGGGAGAATGGTATCACAGAGAATATGTTTAAAATCTCAGATCTCTTCTACCAGTGGAGTATGTCTCAGCAACTCTGTCAACTTACGTCTGATGGCTAGCAGGGCGTCGGGTAACATTACACACACGGTATTTCCTCTTCATCTGTCCACAGTGTGTCACTTCCACCTTTAGGCCTGAGATACACACATTACTTGTCAAGTATGAAATAGGATGTTCATATGCCCTGGCTTTGTCTCTCCCAAGGCAATTTCCTCTATTGGTAGGAACAACCAACAGTTTCCCTTCCCCATGAGGTTAGGTCCTCACCCTTGATCTCCTTGGTAAAGCGAACACGCTGGGAGTCTGTGAGGGGCTTGGGTTGCTCATCTATGTTCCTGATGTCCAGTACCTCACACATGAATTCAATCACTGGTTGTGCCTTATAGAAGGCAGTGGCTGAGACTGTGGGGACAGGGTAGGGATAGGTTAGCTTAGGTTCTGTCTGAATAAATAAGGTATTGCAATTTATACCCTCTTCTTTATAGGGTGCTGGGATGAGGATAGGGGGTGCTAGGGCTATAGGAATTAGACTAGGAGTTTGGTTGCAGAGCTAGAAGGGATGAGGCTGGGAGTGTGGTCACTGGACTTGGGGTGCCCCTGGCTCCATAGCTCTCCCCACTCACCATCAATGTTGAGCATCATCTTCCACATGGCAGGGCGCACAGACTGGTGAAAGCCGAACCAGACCTCGCGCCCACCCCCCAGCGGGTGGTAGTAGCCCTCAGGCGGTGAGAAGAAGGAGCGGCCCACAGGGGTGTACCTGGCAGGGACAGGCAGAGAACTGGTCCCTCGGGCACAGGCCCCCACCCTGTGAGGCATCCTGGGCACGGAGGAGCCCTGGCCTGGAAGGCAGGACACCAGGGCTTTAATGCCAGCTCTGATCTTTCATTAGTTGTATGACTGACCTTGTTCAAGTTTCTACCCTGCCCTGCAGGGACAGATGGGATGAGGCCCAAAGATATCTAAGGACAGGGTCAGGGGTTTAAACCATCTAAATGTCTATGCATACTTGCCTGGCACATGATAGGACTACAAAGAAATTTTTTTCGGTGGCACACTATGGGACCTTAACATGTACTCACTCCCTTCCTCCCCCCACAGCAGTTCTGTCAATACAAGTAGCCCAGATACTAACTACACCCAATACCTCATGGATGCCAGGTGCCTCATGGCCACATCCAGAGCTTGCACAGACTCCAGGGGAACAGGGATCTGTCCACTGACCAGGGCCTCATGCAGCATGCGCCAGCTCACAATGGCTAGCCACTTGATGGAGACCTTAAAAATCCGATCCTTCCCTTCCCCAGGAATTGTCACCTCAAAGTCCACCTTCAGGAGGGCGAGAAAAAAAAGAGTAAAGGATTGTCATCACAGAGAGATACAGGCAGACCCAGCTGCCACCCACTCCATGGACTTGCCAAAATTCTGCTCCTTAAGTCAATAAGGCTCAGAATAAAAACTGCAGAGTAAATCCAACCCCTTAGTTTCCAGCCACCTTGGTTTAGTGCTTCTTTCCCTCTCAACCTAGCGGGAAGTTCTTTAGGTCTATTTTCCATTTAATCTGAGTCTGTTTAGGGAACAGGTATAGGCTAAGTAAGTATTAGCACCTATTTACCCCTCACTCTAAAACAGACTTTCATAGCACAAATTATCAAAAGGCACCCCGAACCTCCAAACTCCAGATGGGCTTACATTAGGTTTGTTCCAATTCAGACCTCTGATACAGGCCTATCCTTATTCCCCATCTTACCCGTTCGTTGCCAATAGGCAATGCTGTGACAGTGTAAATGTTCTTCTTTCCATCATACACAGGCTTGCGATCACCAAAGATCTGAGGCTTGAAATGCTGGACCATGTATTCCACCACTTCCCTGTGGGGGACAGAAGTGGCCTGTGGAAGCCAAGAGACTACCACTTCAAGTTTTTGGAAATAATTCAAAGTCCAAGCAATGACCCATCTACTATATTCACACCAAACATTTTTTCACTCTGTGACAGTTCTTTTCAAACTTCAACATTCCTATGAATCACTTGGAGGTCCTATTAAAATGCAGCCTCTGATTCAATAGGCCTACAGTGCAGTCTGAAACTGCATTTCTAACATCCCAGGTGATGCTGCTGCTCTAGGCTCACCAAGACTCTAAGGGACCAGAAAGAGTGGGTATGCATGCCTTCTAAGAAGAAGAGTCTGAGATGAAAAGGACTTGATTCCAGTGTCTATCCAGAATCCAGGCTATTCTAATTTCCAATCCCTAGTCTGATAAGCAAAACAAAGAAAGTATGAAAGGGAAAATATAAACTGGAATAATAATAAACTGTTTAGAACCTCATCTCATCTCTCCATCTTTCTGAAACTTAGTACCACTAACCTATTTTCTCTCAATTATAATCTCCTCCTCAATTTTATTTATTTTTTATTTTTATTTTTTGGTCTGTTATGGGGCCTGAACTCTGGGCCTGGGCACTGTCCCTCAACTCTTCAGCTCAAGGCTACTGCTCTACTACTTGAGCCACAGCGCCACTTCTAGATTTTTTGCTTATGTGGTGCTGAGGAATTGAACCCAGGGCCTCATGCATGCAAGGCAAGCACTCTACCACTGAGCCACCTTCCCAGCCCCTCCTCCTTAATTTTCTTATCCTCTGCTACTTAGATCCTGGTGTCTATCATTCTTCTTAGCCCAAAAACCATCTGATCTCTTTGCTTCCTAAACCAAAGCCCTTGGTACTGCTATCTAAACCACACTCAAAATGGTATGTTAGGAGCAAATTATTTGAATTCCAATATGTCTCAATGCTGCCAAGCGATCTTTTTCCTTTTTCTTTTTTTTGGGGGGGGTCCAGTCATGGGGCCTGAACTCTGGGCCTGGGCGCTGTCCCTCAGCTCTTCAGCTCAAGACTAGCGCTCAACCACTTGAGCCACAGCACCACTTCCGGCTTCTTTTTCTTTTTGGTGCTGAGGAATCGAACCCAGGGCCTCAGGCATGCAAGGCAAGCACTCTACCACTAAGCCACCTTCCCAGCCCCAAGCGATCTTTTTTCAACTCCCTGATTACTTATAGTCCTCATAGAATCTGTCAAATCTTCTCTACCATTCATCCCTGCCTTCTATGTGAAAGTAATTCTAATATCTCTGAAATGAGTGAGAATAATAGGCAAAGTTAGCTTTGAATTTCCAGATATGTACATAAACATTTATATATATGTTCTTTTCTTTTCCTCTCATTTTGGAAATGTCCCCTACATATATTATTTTTAGACAAATGAAAATATATTGAACTTTATTCACTAAAGAAAAATAATTTAAAATTAGAATACCATATAATAATCTACCTATCAGAATGCTAAAAAAAAAAACTGATATACACTAAGTTGGTACAGATATGAATAACAAATCCCTTGAAGCTTTGCTAATGGGAATAAAAATGAATATAATTTACCTTTAAAAACTGACAATATCTGAAATACTTTATATTTACTGTTCTAACAACTGCACTTCTAGAAATCTATCCCCCAGATGTACTCATATTTGGGTAAAAATATATATCCATATAATTATATTTAGTATAGTTTCAATTTTGTAGCTGAAATTTAGGATTCCCCTAATATTCAATAGATTTATTGAGTAAATGTAATATAGCTATTCAATGGAATACTTATGGGGTTATGCAAAAAACTGAGACAGATTACATGTATCGATATGTACTATTTTTCAAAATAATGGTTTAATAGGAAAAATGCAAGGTGCAGAACAAAATATATTAGGATCCTATCTTTTGTGCATTCAAAAATTATGTATAGTGCCAGGCACCAGCAGATCATGCTTGTGATCCTACTCAGGAAGCTGAGATATGAGGAAATATGAGGATTGAGGTTCAAAGTCAGACCAATAAAGTCCATGAAACTTCAATTAACCACCCAAAAAGCCAGAAGATCTGTGGCTCATGTGGTAGAATGCTAGTGTTGCACAAAAAAAACTCGGGACATTGCCCAGGCCCTGAGTTCAAGTCCCAGACAGGCACACACACAAAAATAATAATAAAAAATTATATTTGAATATGCACAGAAGAGTCCAGAAACATACTTAAGAATGGTAAAACTTAATGCCTCAGGGGAACAGGCTTGTAAGACATCTTTTACTGTTACTTTTTGTAATTATTCAGGACTTTAAAACATTGTGCATATGCCAGGCGCTGGTGGCTCATGCCTGTAATCCTAGGTACTCAGCAGGCTGAGAGCTGAGGATTGTGGTTCAAAGCCAGCCCGGGCAGGAAAGTCCGTGAGACTCTCATCTCCAATAAAATCCACTAGAAAACCAGAAGTGGTGCTGTGGCTCAAGCGGTAGAGCGTTTGCCTTGAGCTAAAGAGCTGAGGGACAGCGCCCAAGCCCAGATTCAAGCCCCACAACTGACCAAAAAATAAATAAATAAGTTTTAGAAAGAAATCTGCTTCTTTTGACTGAGAATAATTAATCCCGAGTATACACTTTGTGATGTCCTCCTGTCTCAGGAAGGACATCCTACTTTCATTCCTAGACCTTTCAAAACCTCTCCTCAATGAGCTCTTTCACCTCTGTCACAAACATCCACACCTCATTCTTAAAAGTTCTTCATCCATTTCAACAAGGCTTTAAATTTGCTACGCACTATTCTTGGCCCCTACAGGCCTCTTTAGCCAATATTTCCTCTCTCCATTTTACTGCCAAATTATGTGGAAAAAGTTATCTGTTTTCATTATTCATACCACTTATGCCTTTACTTACTGTGGTTAGATTAACTAACCCAATTACTCTATTGAAATTGTTCTGGCAGTGGCTGGGAATGTGGCTTAGCTGTAGAGTGCTTGCCTAGCATGCATGAACCCCTGTGTTCGATTCCTCAGCACCACATAAACAGAAAAACCTGGAAGTAGTGTTGTAGCTCAAATGGTAGAGTGCTAGCCTTGAGCAAAAAGAAGCTTAGGGAGAGTGCTCAGGCCTTGAGTTCAAGCCCCAGGACTGAAGGAAGGGAAAGGGAATGGGGAAGGGGAAGGGGAAGGGGAAGGAAAGGGCAAGGGCAAGGGGAAGAGGAAGGGGAAGGGCAAGGGGAAGGGGAAGGAAAGGGGAAGGGGAAGGGGAAGGAAAGGGAAAGGGAAAGGGAAAGGAAAGGAAAGGAAAGGAAAGGAAAGGAAAGGAAAGGGAAAGGGAAAAGAAAGGAAAGGAAAAGGGAGAAGACAAGAGAAAAGAAATTGTTCTAGTAAAAGCCACCAATTCTCTCTTAATGACCAAATTCAACATCCACCCTACCTGGCATCTCTTCCTCAAAAGTTTGCTTGAATTTGGTGGAATCACCCTCTGCTGGTTTTTCTTTTAGTTTTATGCCCCATTTCCTTTCCAAGTTCTGAGAAAAGCAAAGATTCCTGAACTTGGTAACAACTTACCGGTTGACTCTTCGGGGACACTTGTCTGGCTTGATGTCCACTTCATAGTGGTAAACGTCAATCTTAGGAATGTCCACCTCAAAGTAATTGGCCAGAAGTTTGATTGGTTTCCCCACAGTGCCAATGCCAGGGCGACGAGGTGCCTGGAACACCTGCTGCAAGGGGGGCAGGTAGGCGCCCGCAGCTATTAAGACAAAGAGGCCCAATGAGGTCAGAGTCCTCAAACTCCTAACAATTACCCAGATCAGAGAAAGCACAGGCCTCCTAGAAAAGGAACAAGGAGAGTGTAAGGTCCGCTCCTGGATGGCCAGCAGACTCCACCCTCCTCGCAGCAAAGTCTCCACCCAGTACCTGCGTTACCTAGGCAACTAGGACACTTGGAAGAGGTCACATCTGCATCCGCTGAGGTCACATCTGAATTCGATGTGGCCACACCTTTCTCCGCCCATACCCTAGATAAGGCCTAGCCCAGGCCCAGACTCTCTTGCTGCTCTTTTCTAGCTCTTTCCTCTCTCTTTCCTCTTTCCCAGCTCTCTCTCATTCCCAGGCCTTTCCCAGCCACGTGGAGTGCCAACCTTGCCTGGTCCAGCAGGTCTACTGAATAAACCTACCCCTTACCTGAATACCACGTGCGTGCTGCTGTTCTTACTCGGATACCTCTTTTTAAAAACCTAACAGAGAGTAGAGAGGAAACCTCTATACTGCTTCCTAATTTAGTTGAGTGTTTCCACTAACTCAGACATTGCTAGGCTCATTTATTTCTTTTTTCTTTTTCTAGTATTTTCGTTAAATTCCCTTTTCTAGTCAGAAAAATGTCTATTTTAAACTAATCATGTAAATATGTGCTAAATTCCTACTACATGATAAGGGAAGGGGCTAAGTCTGACTCCTAGTAACAAAACCTTTCCTTCCTTATACTTGATTAAGATACCTATCTCTACCAAGTGTCTCACAGACTAAGATTGTCCTACCCTGCTGGCCAGATGCTCACTTAACCCCATCCTGAACACAAAATAACATCATCTTGATCTTCCTCTGCAATTTAGACAGGAAGACCAAAAGAAGACCAGGCTGGGTAGTGCAGGGGTAGTGCAGGGGGTGCAAAAGAACACTAAGGAGACTACAGACTGGAAACAAGGTGAGATAAGGGGTTGAGGAAAAGACCAGCACTGGGAATCACAGTAGAAAAAGGCTTGAATTGGCCAGGAAGGCTAGAATTTAGGGACAGAGAAATTTAAGTTAGAGTTAGGGGCTAAGGTAAGATGAAGTATGGTACCTACAATAGAAAGGGCAGTGAAGAAAAAGCTTACATGAAGAAAGAACTAGGGGCTGGGAATGTGGCTTAGTGGTAGAGTACATGCATGAAGCCCTGGGTTCAATTCCTCAATACTACATAAACAGAAAAAGCTGGAAGTGACACTGGGCTCAAGTGGTAGAGTGAGCAAAAGAAGCTCAGGGACAATGCCCACACCCTGAGTTAAAGTCCTAGGACTGGCAAAAAAACAAAAAACTAGGGGGCTTGGGAAGCAGAGATAGCAATCTGAATATAGAAGAACAGGCATTGGCTCTAAAAAAGAAAATATAAAATTCTTTCCATGCTCTACAAATCCTTCCATGCAGAAAGCCTAGAGAGCAGGAGTCAATTTCAAGACTGAGAGCCCTAGGGAAAGGGTTAGGAGAAGGACAACCTATTTGCTGTCCCCAGTCTTATTTTCTAGCTGGGGGCAGGGAAGGGGAAGGAAATAGAGAAGCCTTTGTCCCCACTTACTATTATTGTTCTTGCCATCAGACGACCAGCCAGGTGGGAGGACAGAAGGAAGGATAAAGCAGCCCAGAACCTCCTATTACCAGAGCTCAGCTTTTACCTCAGACAGGCTGGGAGTGGGGGAGAGGGAGAGGAGAGGTAAGCCTATCTTCAGCTGTAGGTTCAGAAAGAGGTCAGAACCATTTGTGGGAGGGGGCACTTCCCAGAGTTTAGCAGCTCAGTCTCCCTCCTAACCACCTGTTAAGTACAGCCCCACTCCGCAGAAAGGGAAATTAAGGCCCAATCTGGAGGGGAAAAAAAGCCTTCAGAACTCAGCTCTGGGCAAGAAGCATAACTACCCACACTTGGCTACCTACTCCAGAAAGACTAGCACAGAAGCTGCAACACAAGCCTACAGACAGACACATGTTCCTGTCACATTCGAGCACAACCTAGACCTTGAAAGTTTACCTTTACCTCAGGCCTTTCATCTGGGTTCTTCAAAAAGCAGAACCCCTAGTGCCTACCAGACAAGTGGTCAGACTTAAACAAAGAAACACACCCAGAGACATATTACAAGAGGACACAAACAAATGAACATCTGCAAACACCCCCCCCAAAAAAAAATCTTGTGCTGGACAAACATGAAGCATTGTGAGTTTAGATAAAGTGATACCTTTTCTTCCCCAAGCACTCAGATTCCATCTACCTTATCTTCCAGGCTGAATAATCATTTGGGGCCTTGGGAGAAACACATGCCCCTAGAACTAGGAGCTGGTTAGAAATGATGGGGTGTGGGACAGATATCAACCCTAAAGCCTCCTCTTGGCTAGAAATAAGATAAGACTTGGCCTTAGAGTACCCTCCCTGGAAGGTTTTGGAAAAGGCAGGAGCTTACACCCCATTTCATATCCCAACTAGGGAAGACAGGAGGAAGCAAAAAAAAAAAAATTCTCTCACATGGTATCCCCCACCCCCATAAGCCCTCCCAGCTGTACAAAGTCCTTCCCCCCCCCATTACCACACCCTGCCCCCAGCTTTCAGTCTGAGAATGGGAGACACTTCCCGTCAGACCCAGACAGGGACAGACGGCCACTTTGTGATGCAGATGAGGGCCCCAGCACGGAGGACAAAGCTCCAGCCTAAGGGGAAAGGGGCGGGGCCCTCCCCGCAGACAAAAGCGAGGAGGGAGGGGCCTTGAAAATGACACTCCCCCTCCCCCAACCCCAACCAGCCCAGAGAAAGTAAGAGCTTGAAGACCTGGCTCTGTACTCCTTCCAGCAGCACAGAAGCCCAACCAACCTCCCTAAGAGACAGGCTGCCTAATCAAAAGAGGCTAGGTACGTGAGTAAGAAAAGACCCAGAGACCAATCTCTCCAAAAAGGATTTGTCCCATTATTAAATACACACCATTATTGAATATACACATATGAGATTAACCAAATTTCACACTTGAGTGGGATTTCATTCAATTAACATACATGAGACAAATGTTGATTTTAAAGAAATCAGGCACTCCCTTTACCTTCAAGGAACTCTCAGTCCAGTACAGGTGTTTGGAACACACTTGTCCACAGGAGGCACACCTGAACCTAAGACCATTGCCTTGGTTAAGTGCAGTTCCCCCCAGCTGTCTCAGGACAGTATTCCAATTTCTTTCAAGACAAGTAGTCTAGGCTTAGAGCAGTTATGGAGTCCCTCCACCAACAGCTTTCACGCTGAATTGTTTTGTTTTCCAATCCTGGGGCTTGAACTCAGGGCCTAGGCAATGTCCCTGAGTTTCTTTTGCCCAAGGCTTACACTCTAGCCCTTGAGCCACAGTGCCACTTCTGGCTTTTTCTTTTTATGTGGTACTGAGGAATCAAACCCAGGCTTCATGCATGCTAGGCAAGCACTCTACCACAAAGCCACCTTCCTTGAGGCTGAATTTTAATGACTACCTTTGTTGAGGCAAAGCCTGGTCCTACTAGGCTTCTCTCAAGATTACAACTGACTCCAGAACTAGATCCCAGCTCTTCCCCTAGAAGCTTATTTCTTGTTTAAAAAAAAAAAGTCATTTTTTTCATTATTCCAGAACCTATTAGAATATATGTCAGGATAAAATCATTAGCAGCCTGGGTGCAATCTATCTGGACTTCAATGACCCACCTACCCTGTTCTTGTCCACAGGTTGTTGGTAATAACTATGCAGCCTAAAAAACTAAGAGTTTGTAGGATGGAGAATGGGAACAGCAGTTTTCACTGAAGTTAGCTGCTACCTGCACTCCACCTTAGGAACTTACACAACTTCTGGAAGATTGTGTGTGTGTGTGTGTAGGGAAAAATAGTCACTAAGTACTCATACATAACATTGAATGAAAGACTTGAGAGAGTAGGAGCAACTTGACTGGTCTGAAATACAAAGATCTGTCCACTAGGAAAGTGATGTTAAGTCCAAAACAAAATTTACTACTCCTATCCACAGTCCAGGTGGAAGGAGGTGGTGAGAAACTACCTAAAAGATTCCTGAGTCCAGAATACTCTTTCTGTCACAAAGAGACCTAGGCCTAGGATACAGAGGGTACTACCAGCATACAACCCATCCAGAGGAATCCATACTTCTTGGGGGCAAGCTTGCCTCAGTTTCTCCTGTTTTTATCTCCTTTTCACTTTTTTTTTCCCAGCTGTGGGGCTTGAACTCTGGGCACTCTCCCTCAGCTCTTCGGCTCAAGGCTAGTGCTCTATCACTTGAGCCACAGCACCACTTCCAGTTTTCTGAGTGGTTTAGTCTAAGAGTCTAATGGATGTTCTTGCCCGGGCTGGCTTTGAACTGTGATCCTCAGATCTCAGCCTTCTGAGTAGTTAGGATTATAGGGGGTGAGCTACCGGCACACTGCTCCTTTTCACTTCTGAATAAGAAGTTATGACTACTAACTGGGACTTGCCAGAACCAATGTTAAAAAAAAATCTCTCCTCAAACAACCTGTTTGTATTAAAGCAGACTAGCCTAGCAATCTTGGATCTAATGAGCAACCCCCTGATGGTTTCTGAAGAGCAAAGATGAAAAAGGAAAGATACTCTGGGAGACAGACCGTGAAAATATTAAGGTATAAAGAGATTACACTGTGATATCAAAAGACAATTCAATGGACAAGATCATTACTTTTGGATTAAAAGCTCCTACCTCTCATTCAGTATTGGACTAGAAACTTGAAAACCAGTTAAACTTGGCCTATCCTTGGTACCTTTTCTAAGGCCTGTCTTCAGGGAGGACCAGCTCTCCCCAAACATGACTTCAATTCTCGTCTTTCCTCTTGAAGCTGAAAAAGGCACTTTGGCAGCATCCCTCAATCCATTCTTGGCAAATTGTGACTGAGGGGCTTAAGGGCCAAATGTCAGAGACTTCAAGATGGAGAAGGGGGCAATTCCCATTGGCACTCTGTCAGCACCTTAAGAGAATGCACGCATAAGTGCACTAGTTTTTCCAGGCCAAACAGGGTGAGAGAAGTGTGGGGTGGGGAGGGGGGGGGAGCAGCAGGCAGCCACGCCCCCACCACATCAGGCAGCCCCTTCCAGCTGGCACCTCGGCGCATGCTCCTATGTCACCGCTCAGGTTCCCCAACCTCACCAAGGGGGAAATCCTTCGTGCCAGATCCCCACCCACTGTCCTCTGACCCTCGCCCTCCAGTCAGTTGCTGGCTGGGGCGGAGCTCACAGCCTAGCTCTGGCGCCTACTCCCAAGAGACATTAGCTTAGCCCGACCCAGGCGAGCCCCCGCCCCCGGCATGCAGTAGCTGCAGGCCCTACGTTGTCGTCGTCCTCCCCCCCCCCCACACCTGGATCCCGCCCCTGCCACCTGCCGGGCCTCACTAGGCCTCCCCTGATCTCCAGGAGCCCTTCCGTGCTCTCAGGCCCAGCTACCAGATTACTTCCCACTCCCAGGACTGCATACAGCCTTCCCGGGCAAACAGCTCCCATCTCAGGGTCCTCTTCACATGGTTCCCCCCGCAGGCCCCGAACCCGGAACGGCGCACAGCTCCCTTCAAAATGCCCCCCCCCATCCCAGGAGAGCCCTGCTGTCACTCAGAAGCCCTTCTCCCAGGAACCGGGGTCTTCCCGCGAGAGGCCCTCGGGCTTCTGGAGCGCGCCCCGTTCCGCCCTCCCGGGGGCCCTTACCTGCTCCCGAGGGTCCCGCTTCCATCCCATATACCCGTGCGGGGGTCAGGCGGCCTGGAGACGGTGGAGTCCAGCGTGAGGGGCCTAGCTCCCCCGCTCTCTCGCAGTTCGGGCTCCCGGGCCGGGCTCGGCTACACCCCCAAGCCCGGCCGCTCGCGCCGGCGCCCCCGCAGCCTCCGTTGCCGCCGCCGCCGCCGCCGCCGCCGCGGAGCCTGCAGCAGCTCCCCCTGCGAGCGCCCGGCCAGCTGCCAGTGCGCAGGCGCGACCGCCAGGCCCAGGGGGCGGACGGGAACGAGTCAAGCGGGGCGCTCCGACGGCAACAAAGGCCAATGGAGAGGGGCGGGGGCACGGGGACCGGAGGCAGCGGCCCCTGGCGGTCACCCTTCGCCCTGCAGCCTGGCGGGAGGGCTCCGGTAGGGGCGTTCAGTGGGGGCGGGACTGGGTGACACCCCCAGCAGCTGCCTAGGACTCCGGTTCCCCCTCTCCGCCTCCCCCCACACCCTCCTCCTCCAAACAGGTCCCCCCAAAGCCACACACAGCCCCCGCCCTCCGCACAGTGTCACGCGCCCGTTACAGGAAGCCCACCTCACCCTCCCTCCCGCATCACAGCAAAGCCCATCACCCAGGGCCCGGCCTCCCACCTCTCCTCCCCATCACCCTCATCCTTCCAGCCTCGGCTGCACCGACACTGCCTCCGAACTCACTGACGCCACCCTCTCCAGACCACACCGAGGTGGAGACCCTGCCCGCTCTGAAAGACGTCAGCCTGGACTTCCGTGTCCGCAGGACTAAAGAAGCACCTGCCTCCACTTCCTCCTGGGCAGCATCTGCCGCCTGTGCTCTCCCCACCTCACCTAAAGGACTTTGTGCGTCAAAATGCAAAGGATGCTTTTCGATTATCCCCTCCCCGCCCCCCAGACTCTCCTCTTTATCTTTTTTTTTTCTTTTTAAGCCTTCTACTTGGCTTCAGCCTTTTCTTAGGGTCTTGTAATGCCTCAGTCCCTTTCAGCTTTCTTAAAGGGCCCTTCTTGCGTTGGCCCATTAAAGGGATCCCTGTGGTTCCAAACCTAGTTATCTTCTTATTCCACTCTCCACACTCACCTTGAAGATTTAACACACTAGTATGGTCCCACTCTCCTTCCAAATCTCGATTTCTAGCCACATTTTTAGGCTTTTTTTTTTTTTTAACATTTTAGATTGGTATCTCCAAGTGTCTGCTGGACAGCTCCATCTGGATATTCTACTAGTCCAAACCAAACTTTTCATCTTTCCACCTACAAACATTTGTACTTATACTGTGCTTTCTGTCTCTGTGACTGGCAGAATTGACAATTCCGCTCCCTCCTTTGCTCTTTTCCTCTATTCAGTTGTTCACTGTGTCTTTCTTCTCTTTCTTTTTTCTGCTTGCTCTTTCTTCCTCCTCCTCCTCTTCCTTTTCCTTTTTCTACCCTTCCTTCTTTTGGTAGTACTGGAGTCTGGTAGTACAGGCCTCTTTCTTGCTAGGAAGGTACATCACTTGAGTCATACCCTCTCAACCCTTTTTTAGTTTAGCTATTTTCCCAGTAGGGTCTTGTACCTTTTGACCAGGCTACCCTGGAACTCCAAACCTACCTAGACTTCCTCATACCTGGGATTATAGGGATGAACCATTATACTGGGCCTCACTGTTCACCATGTCATGACATGCATGCATCCCTTCGGAACTGCTCTCACATGATTTCTAATAGTTCCTTATGCTGGTGCAGACTCTTATCCTACCTTAATTGAAATATCACATGTATGCCCTTGCTAATTTCAACAGTTTCTGGGATCATTCCTCCTTTTTTTTTTTTTTTTTTGGTCAATCATAGGGCTTCAACTAGAGACCTGGGTGTCCTGTCCCTGAGCTCTTTTGCTCAGGACTAGTCTTTTACCACTTTGAGCCACAGCACCACTTCTGACTTTCTGATGATTAATTGAAGATAATAGTTTCAGGGTTAGGAAGGTGGCTCAGTGGTAGAGTGCTTGCCTTGCAATGCATGAGGCCCTGGGTTTGATTCCTCAGCACCACATAAGCAAAAAGAAAAAAGCCGGAAGTGGCGCTGTGGCTCAAGTGGTAGAGCGCTAGTCTTGAGCTGAAGAGCTGAGGGACAGCGCCCAGGCCCAGAGTTCAGGCCCCACAACCGGACCCAAAAAAAAAAAAAAAAAGAAAATTAAATCAGATTGGAAGTGTGGATTGAGTGGTACAGTGCCTGCTAGCAAGTACCAGGCTCTGAATGCAAACCCAGTACCACCAAAAAAAATTGTAATACATAAAACAATTTTAGAACAGTATCTTAAATAATGCAAGCATAGAATTAGCTATTAGCATAATCATTATTTGCCTTTCACATTATATTCTAAGTTCCTAAGTTCCACACAGAGATCATATCAGAAACATTTCTGGGCCCCTATGCATAGCACAAATGTGCACAGAAACCCTTACATGTAGGTTTTCTTGAATCAAACAGAGGCTTCATAAAGTTCTCAGAAGTCAGCCAGGTGGCGGTGGCTCATGCCTGTAATTCTAGCTACTTAGCAGGCTGAGATCTGAGGATCTCGGTTCAAAGGCAACCCAGGCAGAAAAACCAGAAGTGGCACTGTGGCTCAAGTGGTAGAGCTCTCGCCTTGAGCTGAAGAACTCAGGGACAGCGTCCAGGCCCAGAGTACAAGCCCCACAACCAACAAAAATTAAAAAGAAAAAACATTCTCAGAATTTGATCCCTGGTGGCTCATGTTTATAATCCTAGCTATTTAGGAGGCTCAGGGGTTCAGGGCCGGACCAGGCACACAAATCCTGGACATCTCAAATTAACCAGCAAAAAGCCAGAAGTGGGGGTGTAGTTCAAGTGGTAGAGGACCAGCTGTACCAGCTGTGTACAAAAAAGCCAATCAAGAGCTTAAGGCCCTGAGTTCAAGCCCAAGTATCAGAGGGTAGGTTGGAGGGAGAGAGAGTCCATAAAAGTCTAAGTCCTTTTTTCTAAATACTTGATCTCATATTGAAGTTTAAGGAAAGGAACTAGTCACTATTCTAACACATCTCTGAAGAGCCTAGTGATTCCAATTTTCAAAATCCTTCTATAATGTGTCCCTATATAAGTATAAAAGAAATCCAGACAGCATTTTCTTTTCTAGTATGACATACTTCCTTCAGTAACTCCTGATATACATATCTGGAAATTCTATTGACTTTTTTTTTTTGTCTGTCATGGAGCTTGAACCCTGGGCCTGGGCACTGTCCCTCAGCTCTTTAGCTCAAGGCAAGCACTCTACCACTTGAGCCACACAGCCATTTCTGGTTTTCTGGTGGTTTATTGGAGATAAGAGTCTTACAGCCTTTCCTGCCTGGGCTGACTTTGAACCACAATCTTCAGATCTCAACTTCCTGAGTAGCTAGGATTACAGGCATGAGCCACCGGCTCCTGGCTTGACTCATTTTGTTTCTAATTCAGTCCTTACATATCAATCTAGGCTAACTCACACTAATGGGCCAGAGCCCCCTATCTATATACATTTACACCTAGAATTTCCCAGAACCAAAACAGAAAGAATGGCCTTAAAAAAGTTTGTATCACCACCTATACTCCGTTTTTTTTAATATTAAAAAACAGTATGAAAGCCAGTTCAGTGGCACAAGTTTCTATAGTCCCAAGCATCCAGAAGACTGAGACAGGAGGACCACAGAGCCCAGCAGTTTGAGAGCAGCCTGGACAACATAGAAAGACCTCACCACAAAACAAAAACAGAAGCAAAAAAATCAGCATGAGAGCCAGGTATCAGAGGTTCACTCGGGAGCATAAGATCTGAAGACTGAGGTTCAAAATCAACCACGGCATCAAAGTCCATGAGACTGTTATCTCCAGTTAACCACCAAAAAGACAGAAGTGGAGCTGTGGTTCAAGTGGTAAAGTGCTAGCTTTGAGCAAAAATTCTCTGACACAAAATAACAACAACAACAACAACAACAAACACCCAGAAATAGCCAACAGTGTCCTTGGCTCAAACTTGTAAACTTAGCTACTCAACAGGCTGAGATCTGAGGATGGGCAGTTCGAAGCCAGCCTGAGTAGGAAAATCTGTGAGATTTTTTTATTTTTGGTTAGTTGTGGGGCTTGAACTCTGGGCCTGGGCACTGTCCCTGAGTTCTTCAGCTCAAGGCAAGAGCTCTACCATTTGAGCCATAGTGCCACTTCCAGTTTTCTGGTGCTTAATTGGAAATAAAAGTCTCATGGACTTTCCTGCTTGGGCCACCTTTGAGCCTCAATCCTCAGATCTCAGCCTCCTAAGTAGGTAGAATTACAGGTGTGAGCCACTGGCGCTTGGCTGTGAGACTCTTATCTCCAAATAACTACCAGAAAACTTAAGTGGAGCTATGACTCAAAGCAGTAGAACTTTATCCTTGAGCAAAAAAGTCAGGGATAGTGCCCAGACCCTGAGTTCAAGCCCCATGACAAACAAACAAACAAACAAAACCCAAAGCCAAAATAACAAACAAAAATCCAAACAAACAGCATAAGGACAAAAAATAATGTAATAGAATTAACAAATTAAGTGAGTGGAAAGATTGTAGAAAACAAATCAAATCAAGGTTGGTACTAATAAAAACTAATTAGAAACAATAATGATAAAATATATAGTTTGAGGGGCCCAAGATGCACACCTGTTATCCCAGCAGTAAGAGAGGCTTAGGTAGAGGGATTGCTGTGAGGCCTGCCATGGCAAAAAAAAAAAATCATGAAACTCTTACCTGAAATATAACTAAAGCAAAGGAGGTCTTAAGTGTGGCTCAAGTTTTCCCTGAGTTCAAAATCCCATACCAGGGGCTGGGAATGTTGCTTAGTGGGAGCGTGCTTGTCTAGCCTGCATGAAGCCTTGGGTTAGATTCCTCAGTTCCACATAAACAGAAAAAGCCAGAAGTGGTGCTGTGGCTCAAGTGGTAGCTCAAGGACAGTGCCCAGGTCCTGAGTTCAAGCCCCAGGACTGGCCAAAAAAAATCTCATACCACCCCTAAAATTTAAAAATCCATTTTATTTTTGTCTGTCGTGGGGTCTGAACTCTGGGTCTGGGTACTGTCCCTCAGCTCTTCAGCTCAAGGCTAGCACTCTACCGCTTGAGCCACAGCACCAATTCTGGCTTTTTCTGTTTATGTGGTACT